CAGCTGCGCGCAGTCCAGGTGGTAGCTCTGGCCGCCCACGTTCACGTTCAGCGTGGAGCCCTCGGTGCGGCCTTCTGTCTGGGTGGCCTCCTCTGGCTGCTGGTCTTCCTCGGCCACGTCGGCCAAGTTGTCTTTCCACTGCTCCTCCTCCTCCCCGTCCTCGTCCTCCTCGATGTAGTAGTTATAGTTGCCCTCCGTCCACGGTGGGATGCTGGCCTGGGAGCCGGAACGCGCCGCCAGGGAGCAGATGCTCCCGCGGGGTTGGCTGTTCCCTGAAGTGGGTGCATCGGTACCCTCCGCGGTATTCCAGGGCCGGTAGCTCCAAGACCGCCTCCTCTCACTGTTTTTCAGCATGGCTGTGGGAAGCGGGTCCCTGGCCTTTCCGTCCTGGCTGTGGTAGGGTCCCCAGCTTGCTCACTGCCACGAGGCCGATGGATCGTATGCCCTACACTTCGGACCACAGACCAGGGTCCCAGACACTGCCCTCCGGCACTGGGCAGCGCGGCCCAGGCTGCTGGGTCTGAACACATAGGCAGACGGCTGTTGATTGCTCTAATCTTGCTGAGAAGGGAGAAGCAAGTCTTAGAAGGGATTTGGATCCTCTTAGTCTGTTTCCTCCCCGTCTCCCTCCACTCTGTGACGTGGGGGATGATTATGTGGTCTTAAATCTGTAGATGACCAGAAAGTGGCAGAGATGATTGCTGATGAAAATGTGGGCCACCCGTTAGGCCTTCCCTTAGGGAGTGCTGGGTGTACCTATGCTGAGATGAAACCAGCTGAATTAGCTATAGAACAAAGCTCAGTTTCTGTTTTGAACTCTTTGTCTCTGTCTCTTTCTTACCCTCCCTCCTCTTGAAGGTAGAACCCCAGGACTGGTGGGTAGATGTTCTTGGGGCCTTGCAGCCCTGCTCGCTGCTGTATTAGGCCATATGTGACGCTGGCCTAGACTTCCTTCCAAGAAAAAGGTCTCCATCACTCTTCAAGACATCACTTTTTTTTTTTTTCCCTTCTAAGTCTCTTTTTGTATGTAAGGCACTGTGCTGGATGCCAGAGATGGCAATCCAATGTTGCTCATGGTTTTATAGGTGATCTAAATCTGGAAGCACAAGAAAAAAGCAAGTAAAAGGATAGGGATATCAGAGAAGAGCAAGGGATTTGCTTTGAACAGGGAATTTGTTTTTAAATTCAATTTATTTTGGTTAGTTGTGACGGTGGCCTGGACTTCCTTCCAAGAAAAAGGTCTCCATCATTCTTCAAGACACCACTTTTTTTCTTCTTCTACGTCTCTTTTTGTATGTAAGGCACTGTGCTGGATGCTGGAGATGGGAACCCGATGGAGACACAGTTGCAGCCCTCAAGTTGCTCATGGTTTTATAGGTGATCTAAATCTGCAAGCACAATAAGAAAGCAAGAAAAAAGATAGGGGTATCAGAGAAGAGCAAGGGATTTGCTTTAAGCAGGGAATTTGTTTTTAAATTCAATTTATTTTGGTTAGCTGATACATGTAGTACAAAAGGTACAAAGGTGCATTATGGTAAAAAAAATTTATCTCAACCTGAACTTACAGCTATCAAGTGGGCCTCTGAGGAGGCAACCACTGTTAGTACTTTCTGGTTAGCCTTCCAGAAATCTTCTGAACACATATAAGCAAAAACCTATCTCCATCTATCACCTGAATAGCTCTCTATTGTTAACACAAATCATAGTGTGCAATACACTTTGCTCTTTCCAATTAACCGTATGTCTTGGATGTGTTTTATATCTGAACATAAATATCTGCCTCATTTTGAAAATATCTACTTGGTAGTCTGATAGTGATAGACATTCTACCTTTGCTCTCATAAACAGTGGCGCAATGAATAACCTTATACATACATTACTTCATGCATATTAAGATATATGAAGGATAAATTGTTGGAGGTGGAATTGCTAAAAACCTCACATGTGTAATATTGACGGGTAATGCCAAGTTTCCGTCATAAAAGTTTACCAATTTACAACTCACCATCAGTATCTGAGAGTGTATTATCACTTTTCATGAGCCCCTCCTATTTCATAGGTGAAAAATGTGTGGGCTAATTTAATGTTTCTCTTATGAATGCATTTGAACATCGTTTCGTGTGATTAAAAGCTGTTGTATTTCTTTTTCTACTTCCCATTGAGTTGTTGGTATTTTCTTATTGATTTCTAGGAGAGCTTTATATATCATGAAAACAGACCTTTTGCCTGTGATAGGAACTACAAATATATTTTTCTGAGTTTTTTATGATTTCTGGGTGTATGTCATGCTAGAAGTGTTTTCACCTCTCTAATTCTTTAAAAAAATTTCTTCTTATGGTTTCATTTTTCACAGTTAAAAGATTTGATCTATCAGGAATTAATTTTGATGTAAAGAGTGAAATAGAGACCCAACTTTATTTTTCAGCTTTTTTTTTTTAATCCAGAAGGCTCAACACATTAATTGAATAACCTGTTCTCTCCTCGCTGATCTGTAGTGCTGTCTTTATCATGTAGTTCAGTTTTAACTAGACTTCAAAGGTGTTGGGGAGGTGACAGTTGCCACAGGGTCTGTACCTGCTAGTATAACATCTGCTGCTGTTGTTTAGCTTCCAATAGGGCTCAGACCTACAGGCTTCGAATAAAGCCTCTCGCCAGGTCTGGCCTCCCAGTTCCTCGGTGTATTTCCAGTGTTTTCCTGTGGGCACACAATACTGATGTTTCTCTAGCCACATACTTAACAGATTTTCCAATTACATCTCTTCTTTACATTGTGCCAACTGCTGTCACAACTGTTTTTATATATTACATAAATTCACTATTTTCTTCAGAATCAATTATCCTATATAATAAAGAGCTAATATACTAATTAGACCAAACGGCAGAACAACCGTCCAGACGACCTTCCTGACAAACCCGGGGCTGTGAGGGCCGAGTCCCTTGCACTAATTTCGTGCTGTGGGCCTCTAGTACTATTATAAAAAGGAAAAGTATCATTATTTTCATATTTTTAATGTTCCCTCTTTCCATTGCAATCATATAATACTTTGTACCTAAACTTTCAACACTCTTGTACCTTTTGCACTTAAAAACAATGGTGTGAGTAATGTTTGTCGGGCATCCCAAAGCCATGCTCAAGCACCAGGACTTGCAGTTGAGTGGGGAATATTGCTTTGATGACCACGCCAGGGTGACTCTGACAGCCCACAGGCGTCTGTTGGCGTGGACTTGTTGCTTAGGTTTTGCTCTGGTGTGTCTGTACGTCAGTGCAATGGTAGATGAGTGCTGACTGTGTACCTATGGGGAAACACTTTGTGACAAAGAACTGCCCAGCCATGGCTGGGTTTGTTCATACAGTGGTGAGCTCCTCTTTGAATGCAGTTAAGACTCCGTAGGACTGCTGTCGAGGGAAACTTGTGTGGGTAGAAAGTGGCCTGGATGAACCTTAAGCCATTTCTGGCTTGTCATCGCTAAGATTCTAAGTTTTTGATTAATGTTCCATTTGTCTTGAATTCCCTCCTGCTCTTCTCTTAAGTCCTTGTTCTTGAAAGTCAGCTGAGATAGCATCTTCCTCTCTCAGCGATCCTTCTCTGACATCTTTCTTTCCCCGAGATGGGTAAGCTGCCCCTTCCCAGTGTCTCCTTGAAAACACATACTACCAACTTACAACACAAGTCCCTTATTTAACAGAGTGATTTAAAATGTTTTTCATTTTAATAGTTATATAAGTACATTATAGGAAAATTTTAAAAATAGAGAGCAGAATGCTAATAATTGATATAATGATAATAGTATCCTGCCCACATACTGTACTATGATAATGCTTACAACAACCTATCATGTAGGTGCTATAATTATTCCTATTTCACAAATGAGGAACTGAGACACAGAAGTGAAGTAACTTGCCCAAGGTTACACAAAAAGTAAATGAACGAACTGGGTTTTGCTCCAGACTAACCATCATGCTATAAACAGCATATACACAAAACCCACCTATAATCTAATCTCACTGTCCAAAAACAATCCTATTCATATTTTAACCTGCCTCCTTCCATTTAAACTCTCTCTCTCTCTCTCTCTCTCTCTCTCTCTCACACACACACACACACTTAATATGCTTGTGGTCATTTAGGATATGAAATTATGTATCCTGCCTTTCTCATTTAACATTTTAACATAAGCATTTTAATATTAAAAACACTTTGCAAGCATTATTTTAAATGGTTACAAAATATTCTATATCGTGGATGTACCATCAATAACTTTACCAGATCTCTTTTATTGAAATAGACAGTTTGTAATATTCCACTATTATGAGTAACGATGTAGTGAAAATCTTCACGTTGGAAAGGTTGGCTTGTTGTTATTTTGTATTCTGGGTTATTCCTTGAGATAGTTTTGCCAGATTTTCTAGGCCATTCTCCTTTGATGCTCATCCTTCCTGTGAGCTTGCTGCTCATGCTATTTAGGGTACTTTCTCCACGCCAGCCTGTCTCCTCTTCCTCTGGCTAACTCCTCTTCATCATTTAATAGCCGGAGGGCCCTCCTCCATCCTCTCCTCTAGGAGAGCCTTCCCTAACCACCCAAGGCTGAACTCAGCTCCCCTCACAAGTGCTTCTGTAACGCCTCCACTTTGCCTCTCACAGCACTTCTCACACGCTTGTCTGCCTGTAAACCAGACGCGCCTGTGTAAGTCTCAGAAGGGCTGGGCGGTGTCTGCTTTGTTCAGTGTTTCCCCCATGGGTCTAGTCCAGTGCCTGGCATATAGCAGGCACTCACTCAAAAAATATTAGCCGAGAGATGAAAATATTTCATGCATATTTCCAACTCGCTTTCCTATTTGTCTCCGTTTACACTTTCACCAATAAAATATGGGAGGGCCTCTTTCACAGTAGCTTAGCTAGAATATCATCACTATTATTGTTGCTTGCTAATTGGCAGGTGGAAATGGCATTACATTTTTGTCTTAACCAACTCGATATTATTTTTTATATGTTCCCCGCTGGCCTCTAAAGTCTTCAAGAGCAAAGGCCATCTTGTCTTTGTGACCCCAGCACCAAGGAGAGTGTCAGTATCTAGCAGATTATAAATATACATGTTGAAAGGATACAAGAGCTCTCTGTATCAGTTCTTACCCTGCATTGAATCTATAATAATCTCAAAAGGAAATGTTAACAAAGACTTGTTGCTCTGTGCTGACATAGCCCTCACCCCCACTTGGAAGGGAGAGAAAAGGAGTGGCTTTGAGGAGCAGTGGCTGGGAGTCCCACCTGCTTTTCCTTGGGGACAGAGATTGATAGGCAGCAGATACAACAGAGAGGACACTGAGATTCCAACAGTCACGATTTTGCATTCTGGTTTCAAAGCTTTGGGTAAATTACTTAACCACTTTTCGTTTCTGTGTTTTCATCTGTAAAATGGGTCATTGGAGGACTGCCTGTTTAATAAAAAGGCTCGCCAATGGCTGGCCTGCCTGTGCCCGCACCCTGGCATATAGTACTCATCAAAAGGCGGTCATCTCTCCCTCATCCAGCTCCTCC